AAAAAAAAAAAAAAAAAAAAAAAAAAAAGAAGAAGAAACTTAAAAAAAAAATTTAGTCTGGCCTGACAGTACCACTTAAATCTAATGGAAAAACTCATAAAAATAGACTAATAACAATGAGACTCTTACTGTGCTGGAAAAATAATGCAAGGGCCATGAGTTCAAGGAAGGAGCTCCATATCCTAGTAGGAAAAGCCTTCTTGAGTAGGGAAGAAAACAGGCTCTACGCCATACATTGGGGTTTCCCGTGCCTCTTCCCACATCCTTCCTTTGCTTTCTTTCCTGAAAAGGTTCACAAAGCACTGAAGATTTGTCCCTGGGCCGTGTGAAGTATCCTCCCTCCATGGCTCCCGAAAGATGGTCCTATCTCCTGCCCTGCAGATGTTAGACATTTAGTAAATATCAGTATTTGCAGAACAACAGAGAAACACTGTCTGGGAATCATACATAATGATTTAATCTGGGCTTTTTCATGGAAGAGAAATGAATGTAAACCACTAAGCACAGAGGATATGAAGTTTTATTTAGGAAATATCGCATGTTAGTATACTAAGAGAAAGAAAGAAAGACAGTGGGTTGAGTCTTTCTTCAGTGAGTGGGACCCTACCCTCTCTTGCCTGCACAGGCTGTGACCACATGAATCTGTCATTGCTGCTCCTTGCTTGCTCTCTGGCAGTAAAAAAAAGATGCTTCCAGGCTGGGGGACTGGTTAGACACCTTTCTTTTCAAGCTTGTCAAATTATTTTTATTTGTGTGGGGGCTCTGAAAGCCTTGCACGTGCAGTTAATTTTCACAGTAAAGGATGTCAGGAACATTAGGTTTCGGGAACATTAGCTTTGCCCCTTCCTGTTCAGTCTGTCCCCATCCAGGACAACACAGGGCTGTCCCAGGGCCTAGACGTCAAGGCAGGGAGCCGGGTTTATGGGCCGCCCTGGTGGGAGTGGACAGTGCACAATACAGTCAGAGAACAAAACTGAAGGAAGTAAAAAGAGCTGCCCGAAAGTGTAACCTTTCTATTTTTTTCAGTTACGTTTTCTCTGTTCCAGGACAGGGTGCTTTGTGTCACCATCCTCACCATCTAAGTATTTTCATTTTCTCCAGTTCAGTGAACTAGGAAAGGTATATTATAATACACACTTTGTTTCCTTTTCCATTAAAACATCCTTTTTTGCTTTAAGTGTCAAAGATGCAAACCAACCTCAATGAAAACATTTTCTAACGTCTCAAAGAGCTCCCAGATCTGCAGGACACATGTAAGGTTGTCAAAGATGACCACGGAAAATTATCAATACTTTTGATAATAGGAAGGCAAGAAATGCTGTTATAAAAAAGAGATTTGAAGAAAAAAATGAAAACAGAGATTTTTGGGGAGGAAAGGGGTAAAAGAAAGATGTATTACATACATGCACAAATCTCCCTGAGGGTGGATCATTATGCATTGCAAAGATGTGCTAGAAAATCTTGATAGTAGTGTAACTTGGTACAAGCTTTTAGACAAAAACGACAATATATCCATGCTGTGTGTGTGTGTATATACAAAGAACTGGAAAAGAAAGTTTTTTAAAAGTAGATGGGATCCTAGACTTCCAAGTTTTCAAAAGCTTTTTATATTTTAAATATAGTTAAAGTTAGCCTGACTGTGGATAAGTTTTTTTGTTCAAATCTATGAAACTATATTCAAAACAAGGAAATTTCAAAATATTAAAAGAGTCCACTTTTAATCCAAGATCTTTCTGCAGATGTAAGAAGTCCCAAGATGATGGCTGGAGAAAGGAATAATACAGCCGTCATCAAATTCATCCTTTGGGGGTTTTCAGATTTCCCCAGGCTCAGGGTCACTCTTTTCACAGCATTCTTGGGGACTTACCTCTCCACAGTGGTGTGGAACCTGGGACTCGTCATCCTGGTCAGGATGGATTCCCACCTGCACACTCCCATGTACTTCTTCCTCAGCAACCTGTCCTTCTTAGATCTCTGCTATGTCACTTGCACAAACCCCAAGATGCTCTCAGACTTCTTCCAGAAGCCCAGGTCCATCTCCTTCATGGGGTGCACCACGCAGTATTTCTTCTTCTCCAGCCTGGGCCTGACTGAGTGCTGTCTGCTGGCTGCCATGGCTTTTGATCGCTACGCTGCCATTTGTAAGCCTCTGCTGTACACGGCCGTCATGTCCCCTGCCCTCTGTGTGCAGATGGTGGTTGGAGCCTACATAACCGGATCCTTTGGTTCACTGATCCAACTCTGTGCTTTACTTCAGCTCAATTTCTGTGGGCCAAATATTGTCAACCACTTCTTTTGTGACCTGCCTCAGTTACTGGTCCTGTCCTGCTCTGAAACCATCGTCCTACAAGTCATGAAGTTTGTGATCGCCGTGGTTTTCGGTGTGACATCTGTCTTAGTTATCATGGTCTCCTATGGGTACATCATTGTTACCATCTTGAAGATTAGCTCAGTGGAAGGCAGGTCCAAGGCCTTCAACACCTGTGCTTCTCACCTGACGGTGGTCACCCTGTTCTTTGGATCAGGACTTTTTGTCTATATGCATCCCAGCTCCGGTAGTTCACTGGGCTCTGACAGGATGGCATCAGTCTTGTATACAGTGGTGATTCCCATGCTGAATCCTTTGATTTATAGTCTGAGGAACAAGGAAATCAAAGATGCCCTTAAGAGGTGTAGGATGAAGCGAGTATTTTCCCATTGCCACTGTTAACTAAAGGTCTGGCAGGCTCATGACCCTAATGACCAGAGTGCTGGACTTCGCAAGGTAAAATGCAGGCAGTAGGATCCGGCCTCACTAAGTCTGTGACGGGATCAGCTCAGCACCCTGTGAATCGTTCAGTCTTCACAGCTGGCTCAGCTCTCCTACACCCAACCCCACAATGCAGCTGGCACATCTGTTTTTGTTAATTGGCAATCTTCAGTTCTCCAGTTTGGGAACCTTACATTTTCCTTCCCTGACTTCACCCTGCAGGCTAACGAGAACGGGAGTGACCATGAGGCAGGTGGTCTCCCTCTTACACCACATCACAAGCCATATAAAGACCCCTTGGTCCCAGACCAAGGCGCTTGGGGACCTAGGGTGTGACGGGAATGTGGAGGGACGTGTAACTGTAGTCTTTGACCTAACTGCTCTGTGAGAAAATAGAGAGGCTTTGATTTTTAGTATTTTATTTTTAGAACAAGGCATCAATTGTTTGTAAATGAACAAACAAAGAGATTTCCACTGCACTACCCTTCTCTGGCAGAGTGGAAAGATGGGTGATCTTCTTTACATTTCTTTTTTTGTTTTTCCTTTTGCTTTTCTGAGACAGCATCTCACTAGGTGGTTTGTGGTGGTCTTGAGCTCACTATGTATCCCAGCCAGCCACGAACTTGGGGCGATCTTCTTGTCTCAGTCTCCTGAGTGCTGGGACTACAGGTGTGTGTTACCACACCTAGCTTGGGAAAGTCATTATGGCAGACACACCCAGTGTTGCTAAGTAATGAAAGATGTTGCATGAAATAATTTTTTAGAAAATAATTTAAAATACATTTCTAGTGCAAGAAATGAAAGAAAATATCCAACAGTCGAATGTGTATGAAGTAAAATCAGAAATGCTGAGAGTAAAAGCTGCTCAGAAGATGTCCTACATTGGGAAACCCATGGGGATCTGGAAATATCGGGTCTGTGCTCCGACAAAAGCCTGGGACTTGGGGAAAGAGGGACAAAGCTTGGGACTGCCTGAGACTTTGAAAGGAGGACCAGACACACACACAGGAGGTACCGGCCAACTATGCCTCCATGTGGGAAGGGACTAAGGGGAAAATCCTGTCCACAAGAAAGGAAATCCCGACCTGCTCAGGCTTTGTATTGGGTGTCACACCCCTGAATGGAGGCCAATGGTGCTATCCATGGGGTCTTTCACTGATTCCTTCAAAGCACCCTCAAGCCCATTCCAATCAGAACCACAAGCAAATCCTCCTCGGAGATTTTAAAGAAACATCTAAATGCCAACTCAAAAAATTCCCCCAAAAAACTTTCCAAGGAAAATTAATTGGGTTATGGGCCAGGGATTTAGCTCAGTGGTGCCTCTGTGTGCCTCCCAAGCACAAAGTTCCGAGTTCAATCCCTGGTATAAAAAAAAAAAAAAAAAAAAAAAAAAAAAAAAAAAAAAAGGAAAATTGGGTTACACAAACTTCAAAGTACACAAAGCAAGACCTTATGAGTTAAGACCTCTAGACAAGATGACACCAGGCTTGAAGACTTCAGGAAAAGCAATGATCCCAATGAAAACACACAGTGGGTGATATCCATATGTTAAAAAGAAGAGGAATTGAAAATATAATAGGAACAAGAGAATGAAGCTTACTGAGGATTTCTACATCTGGTGCTAGGATAATGTGACAGTCATCATTCTTGTCACCGCCCCTGGACTAAGAGGCACCTAGGAGATGAGCTTAGCTGTGCAGGGTGTCTTCCAGAGATGCCGGACCGTGGGCCAGCAGACTGGATGGCACTCTCCCATGGGAGTGAGAGGCAGGTCAGCCTGCATGTGAGGCTCGGTTCTTCTTGAGCAACTGCTGTGGCCCCTGGGTATCCAACCCCAGCTTCTCTGGCCTTCATTCAACTCAGACTCACATCAGCACCCTTCAGGAGTCTTCTGAGCCTTAGTGTCCGTGGTTCCTCTGTTTCTGAGGCTTCCAGCTCTGGTGCCCGAGTGGCTCCTGGACCCTCTGGCTCCCCAGAGAGCAGATGGGCACCGCGGACCCTCCTAACTTTGGAATTGTATTTCAACCTTATGAAAACGTGGGCCTTTAAGCTAAGCCCCCTATGAAGGGAAGCCAGGTAAGTAGTACACAGTGCCCAAATGGCCTTCACCTCGGGGGCCCTGGAGCTGTTGACCCTGAGCTTCTGCTGTGTAGACCGCCAGGCTGGGAGAACCAGAACCAGGCCAGCACTCGCCCCATGGGGCTCAGGAGGGGCCCTGCACAGAGAGCCCCGAATGCCACTATACGCTCATTGGAAATAAGCGAGAATTCCCCCGGACTCTTGGAGAACACAAATGAAAATGTTTCCTAGTTTTTTTAAAAGATCACAATATGCAGAGTAAACCCCATAATATGGAAAACGTGGGGCTGTAAAAACAGACTTGCAGAACATTCACGTGTTGGAATGATCATTAATGAGGAGAAGGCAGCTGGGACTTGTTAGGGTGAAACTGAATAAGTGTGCCCTGTAAGAGACAGGTCTTTCCCAAAGGAAGACATCCTGGGCCACATCAGGGGTCCCCCAAACAGGTGAGGCAAAAAGAAGAGCCCGGGGAACCCATGTGGTGAAACGCTGCTTGGCTGTGCAAGGGAAGGGAGGACTGACATGTGGTCACCAGGCTGGGCCTTAGCAACACTGTGCCAGTGCAGGAGCCGGTCACAAGGACCACGCTGTGCAGAAGCTCACCCTACTGAGAGGTCCAGAACAGGCCGATCTGTAGACAAGGAGACTTGACCGGCACCACACCAAGAATGTAAACTGTGTACTGCAAACACGTCCTAATAAAAACAATTTGATCAGTCAGATCTACGATAAGGGTAGAAATAGAACAACACAAAGAGCTGCCTGAGTTGTCTAAGGAAGAGAGAAACAGGGAGCAGCTGTTGATGGGTGTGGGGTTACTTTGAATAAAAAGTTCTAGAATGAGACGGTGGTAATGTTTTCAAACTATGTGAGTATTTTAAAAGTTACTGAATGATGCACTTTACATGGAAGAATTTTATAGTTCATGAACTTACCCTAAAATAGGAGGCACCTTAAAATGATTTTTCTTCCTACTTTACACGATGAAAAGAGCAGGTGGCACCCTGCTTGGGGCTGACACCAGACAAACTTGTCTCCTCTCTTGCCCTGCACAGCAGGAACACCAGAGGCAGAGATCAAGTCTAAGCCGGGCTGGGCTTCTGACCTAACACAACAGGGAAAATACACGTCCATGGTTTCCAAACTGCTAAATCTATGGTCATTTCTTCTGCAGCAATAAGAAACTAACAATCCTCACCCACATTTTATTTTGCTTCGCTGCAACACTGCACCCTCCAAACTTTGTAGCCAATGCCCTGATGAAGCTACTGTTTTCCTTTTTTTTTAAAGCCTCTCTTTCATTTGAGAGGCAGCGGCTGATCGGCTGTGGGGTGCCAGGCCCTGTTCTAGGCTCTGACTGAAGATTGGGTGATGAACAAGTTTGGTTTCTAGGGACTGCCCAGGACAAGGAGAGTCGTCATCTGAGGGAGAGAGGGGCGAGGGGCAACGATGAGCACAACGACGAGAGTGCAGGGGAGAGGTCGTGTCTAGTTCAGGGTACAAGAAAGGTTATTTTGGAAAGTCTTTGGAGCGTGTGACAGGGAATCAACAGGACGCTCAGGAGGGATTTTGTGCGGCACTGAGTGTCCTTGGGGGACAACAAGACACCTTTATGGGGTGTGGTCCAAAACTTCCATGAGTGGCTAATTTCTAAAACTCGAATACTCTGAAAGATACATTGCCACTAATCCCCAGATCCTCCTCACACTGTGAGCACACTCGTCCCATCGTTCTTGCTACTTCCTGCAGCAGCTCTGGAGCCCTCTTTCCTGGGTGTCTTTCGTTGCACTGTCCAGGTGGCCTTGACGTCCTGGATCCATTCAAAACATGAGTCTTTCGTGGTCATTTGATGCTGGGGAAAGTCCAGAAGTTACGTGGGGCCTGACCTGAGGAACAAGGTGGTGAGGACACGGTGTGATGTTCTTACAAGTTTCCTTTCCGTCAGACGGCATCCTGTCTCAGCCCTCACTGTGCTTTTTTAAAACCACACCTCAAAAGGACACTTAGGAAAGAGGACGCCAGAGCTGCTTCCGAAAGTGGCAGCAATGCTGGGATGGGTGTGTTCGAAGCGAGGGGAGGATTCTGAGAGGGAAATTTGCGGCAACGTACCTTTTACGGTGATACAAAAAGAGTTAAGCAGTCGTTGTATGCTTTGGTCACACTTCCCAAGTAGCTAAACCCGTAGCAGCCCGACAATGCGTACAGATTTTACTGTGAAACAGAAGGAAACGTGAGGACCACTGGTAGGAATCACTCAGGGCCGAGACCATGAGTTCAGGAATTTGGAAGCGTTGAAAGAGTAAAAGTCATGAAATCAAAAATAGATTCACTGAGAACCGCAAAAGAGAAAAACAGGATGTTTTTGGCAAAGAGAAATTAGAGTTTGCAATTTTGGAAGTAAGCATTTTCTCATTGTGCTCAGGGCTGGGACTGCCACAGGCAGGGCGGTGCAGGGCCCTCCTCTGTGGGGCAGAGGCCTCCATCGTGCAGAGCCGGGAACTCCAGGAGAGCAGCATCCTAGAATGTGTCAGATGGGTCTTTCTGGTTGCCACCAGGGCCCTTGAAAGCAGGAGGGCTAAAAATCAACGTAACTTGAGAAGTGCACAGCAAAAGGAAACAATCACAGTGTGGGAAAATCGGTCTCTAAATGTTTTCTGCATTACTGAGTTGAAAGCTCTGTCTTGAAGACAGACAAGAGCTGGCCACAAGGCGTCAGCCTTGGCCATACCCAGCCAGGTGTGCTTGCTTCTAAGCAGAATCCTCCCAACCCACTGGCGATCAGTTTGAGAAGCCTGATGTCTGGAGATGTGAATTAAAACACAATGCAGGCAATGCCCAGGAAGAACCTGCTTACTGGGATCTTGTTCTTTCTTTCTTCT